CAATTAAAATTATTTGACATATTACCGATTAAGTATCAGATACCCGAAAACACTTTTTCAATTTTTCAATTACAGCCTTAAACCATTTGATTGGTCAGTGATGTCACAGGGACCACACATATGCACTATTATGATCTTAACACTGTCTATACACACCAACAGTTGACTAATGTGTATTGATGGTTAGATTAACATACTGACTGATCTGATCATTACCTCATTAAAATTATTTATATGTAAGCTACAAATCACTAAGAGCTGACCTTTCTCGTCTTGAATTGTTATAAATTACATACTTGTGACTGGAATATTTTATAGTGAATTATACAATCTCAGATTTTGTTTGTGTTGTTGAGAGTTCTGGAATTCCAGCAAAGAAAATTGGAATAATGTGCCGTTGGTTTTCTACCGTCAAAAGTAAAGACATTCGCGATCATGAAAATAACCCCATACAACCGCAGCAACCAACATGAAACACCAGCAAACTATATTACACCGCTGTCAGATTAAATGAAAAGGGTATAATAGTGGGAGGAGATGGTAGGGCAGATCTACCTGACCACAATGATAAGTTCAGCCTCTATACAGTTAGTCCTGGGTAAGTCTTAATTCATATTTATCACGCTGCAACAGTTAAATACAAAGGATATTACAAGGCTTTGCATAAACCTATATCTTTGATCTGGCATGCATACAATAGATAATTACCTAATCAGCGTTCTTAATCTCGAGAGCACTCAGACCTAACATCAAGGTGTTAATTAATTTATGACTCCATGTCTGTGCAATTTTCAGTCAGATTGATTAATGAGATATTAACAACACATGTACACTTGGCATATTAATACACAAATGATGTAGTCAGATGACACTTCTCAAACTGTTATTCAGTTTAGTTGGTTCCTAACAAATTTAATTAGCCCAAGTTTAGTTGTGCTGTTAATTCAAACATAGTGAGATATTTTTTTCCTATTTCATTTTTTTTACAGTCTATTTTAGAGTAATGAAGTCAAATCCTGCATCCACATTGACTATGACTCCAGGAATCTGATATACAGTTGGCTACTCAAATCGGTAAATAGACCCGCAAAAACTTGGGGAATAAGAAGCACTTCTTCGATGTCTAGCACGAAGCGAAAGGTAAATTTGTTTTATTTGTAGCTTAATAGAGTTTGGATCATCATAAAACATACCATTGACATCAATGTAGACTATAATGTAAAACTGTATCTTGAAAGGTCATTGGAACAAAGTAGTTTCTCAAATAAATGTTAATTATAACACTAGAATTAATACTGTTTATTCCAGGTTTGAAAACAAAATTGATGGCACTGGGAAAAGAAAAACACTGTGACGTCAACAATCTCTGGATTCAAAGTATAATTAACCATCTACATGTATATTAGTGTGCTGCGGCCAGAGACAAAGACGATTGGAAGCAGTTGCTTCAGAATGAAACAGTGTTGTCGATCACATCCAGATTGAGAACTACGAAATAACAGATGCTTGAAAACATTTTGTTTCATAAAAGTCGACAATTAATTATTTTTATTGACTTCATAAATGCTCGCAGCACTGTCGATAACAATTTTACACCTATCTTGTTGTATTCATAGAAAGCCAATGATAGTACAGGTTCACTGTTGGCTTACTCCAATTTAATCTGATCAAAAGAACACCAGGAATATAGCTACAGTGACTGTCTTTGTCATGGCATTATAATAAAACAAATTCTAAATTGGATCTTTAATTAAAATAAATTACATAACAAATTCTTCTGTAGTCAATTGTTTTATTTAATTAAGGGATTAAGGAATCAATCAGGAATTAATGAATACACACCTCAGCTGTAATTAAGGAATAAACATTCCAAATGCAATGCATTCGGTCACTGTGATGTCACTGGCACCTGAGGGTATTAAGTGTGTTTTCGATAAATGGCGAAGTTGTTTTTACGTTAGGTCTATATTTGCGACTTTGAGTGAACATGACTGATTTAATTTTAATCAGATTGGTGTGAACTTGCTGTAAATTGCATATATTAACCATTGGCTACAAGTATAGAATATTTTGTCAAGTCAATTGATGTGCTCTTTAAGATAAATTCATTGCCTTTGGAATTATCAGTAGATGGTTGTTTGTAAAGAAAACAATGGTATGGCCACTGACTAGACTTTCCAGAACAGCATACTTCAGTTATCCTAATTGTACCCCGCCTTTCAAAGAAAGCAGGGGACTATTAAAATGGGTCTCTGTCTGTCTGTCTGTCCATCACACTTTTCGAAACACAATAACCCTGCTTCTAGTTGAGTTAGAATGTTCAATCTTGGTGTAGGTGTGTATTAGGTGAATGCCTTGATGGAGTTCAAAGATGAACATTTTCTGCTTAGGGTAAGCAGAGATAAGCAGTTTGATTGGTTGATAATTTTGGACACTATAACTTTAGTTCGAATTAAGTGAGAGTGATGACACTTGATGTATAGTTTCATTACATCAATAACTCTCCTTCTAATTGAGGTAGAATGTTCAAACTTGGTGTAGGTGTGTATTAGGTGAATGCCTTGATAGAGTTCAAAGATGAACATTTTCTGCTTAGGGTAAGCAGAGATAAGCAATTTGATTGGTTGATAATTTTGGACACTATAACTTTAGTTCGAATTAAGTGAGAGTGATGACACTTGATGTATAGTTTCATTACATCAATAACTCTCCTTCTAATTGAGGTAGAATGTTCAAACTTGGTGCAAGCGATCATTCGGTGAATTCCTTGATGGCTTTCGAAGAGGACCATTTTCTGCTTTGGGTAAGCAGAAAGAAGCAATTTAATTGGTTGATGCTTTGGGACACAATAACTTTGGTTCTAAATAAGTGAGAGTGATGAAACTGGTATATAGTTTCATTATATCAACATTGACTAAGTTCGATAATGAGCATTTTCTGCTTAGGTTAAGTAGCGATAAGCAATTTGATTGGTCAAGACTTTGGAACATGAAAAACTCTGATTTTAATTGAGGTAAAATGTTTAAACTTGATGTAGATGTTCATTAGGTGAATGTTTTGATTGAGTTCAATGATTAACAATTCCCCACTTAAGCTACGCAGACCTAAGCAGTCTAAGCAGAGCTAAGCAAGTTCATTGGTCGATGCCTTGGGACAAGATAACATGGATTCTAACTGATGGAGAATGATGAAACTTGGTGTATAGTTTCACTACCAGGTACTTCAAAACCTTGACTGACTTTGATTCTGAACATTTTATGCTTAAACTAGATAATCAGTTTGATTGCTCAATACTTTTGAAAAAAACTTTTGAAAAAAAAAAAAATTTTGCAATTAATAAACAATATTTATTTTGGGATTTCGGCTGGGAACATCAGCCTCACTGTTGGCTTGTTATTATATGTTGACATCTTATATCCTCTTCATCCCCGTCAGTTTGCTGTCCGCATTTGCTTGTGTATATACAATAATAGAATACAATAAAAAAAAAATATTGTTTTATCCCACATTTCATAGGTGAAGTTATGACATTTTGTATTTAGTTCTTCAGCCTTAAAGAAGTTAGTATTTTTACTGACGAAATATGGGATAAAATGATTGCTTTTTGACATTGTATTCTTTTTACAAAGCAGGAAGAACTAGAAGTCTATCAAATTTTAATCACTTTATGCGTAGTTGCCCTTAATCAGCTTTTAGTATCTTGTAACAGCTCACATGACCTACAAGAAAATAAAAGTGTGACAACCTTTATAGATGTAATGCTCTAATAACTTAATTGCTGTGGACGTATGTTTTATTGCCTGGCAATCTATATTTTCATTTGATTACCATTATCAAATATTCATTGAATTAGTTTATTACTCGAGAAAGTCTAAGATTATTTTTGTACATAAAATATTTCAATGAATACAGCTAGTTAGTTATTTTTGGTTTTAATAGTGTGATTTTGTGTAAATACCACATCATTATATAGGAATGATTTGTTTTTCTAAAACTGCTCCATTGTAAACATTGCTCTATAAGGAATCTTAATAACTGAAAAATATTTAAAGTTCAGATTTTCATAGAATGATATATAAACAATAAGAAGAGAACTATATACAACGTTGCTTTAAATATACTAGCTGTTTTCCATAAAAGTAGGTGTTTTTGTTTGTATACATTGTAACAGAATAATAACGTCTGGTTCAAAGTCCAGGGGATCATGTGGCTAAGTGGGTAAGACGCTGGCTCGCTAGCCTGGAGGTCGGGTGTTCGATCCCTGCATTGGCCGAGAAAGTTCATCCAGATTTTCCGGCGTGGTTTCCCCTTGTCAGTAATGCTGGACGGAGGGCCTGTCAAGGACAGCTGTCTAGTCCTTCGGATAACTCGGAAAACCTGAGGTCCCGTGTATACATTGGAATGCACGTAAAAGATTCCTTGGCAGTTGGAATTCGAAACAAGAGTAGGCGATAGTGCCGCTGCCCATGCAAAATTTCCCTCATAGCACACTGTATGACAAAGGCCCGTCTTCATTAGCTCAGTATAGGAGTAGGACGTTAAACCCCATTTCATTTCATTTCATTTCATTTTGGTTCACTGTCCACGTTATTTGCTCATGGCCTTTTAAACATACATTATGCAAGAGCTAAATCTGCCAATTGCATGTTTTTCTTGCGGCCTGAAATGTTATCTTAAATTGTTAATAAGACATTAATTAACTTATCTAGACCATAATCAACTCTCGATGGCATCGCTAGCCTGCAATATTTACGGGATTAGAATCCGGTCTGCTACTTCTGATTAAATCGTACCAACTTAAGTAATGATGATCGAGGCTAGGCCGAAATTTCAATCGCTTAATTCTCGGTTCATAGTGGATCAATTTGTCTAAAATTTTCAGCAAATTCCCTTTACATTATCTATATTTTTAACTATTATATTGAGAACTGCCAGCTCTTTAACTAATCTGCCATAATGTATCTTTAAAATAAAGCTTGAATTGATTATTTGTGTTTTAGGTAAGGGCCAGTTTGGTGAAAGGGATTTAATACAGCAAGTAGATGAATACATGGATTGCGTTCAAGTCCATCCCTTTAACTTTTTAACACCAGAAATTCATTTTGCCTTCTATAATAATGTGACTTGTCCAATGGCTGAAGCCTTGGAAACTAGAAACATCAAGGTGTGGGGTCACAGAGTAATGGTTGAGGAAGATGTTGAGAGAAAGCTTCAATCTGTTTTAGTTGTTGATTCGTCAGATGAATCAGATTTTTCTGATTCAGACCATGAGGAAAAAATTTTGAAACAGAATCCATGTTTTATTTCAAATAAAAGTTCAGGACAAATAAATAATACTGACAATAAAGCTGAAGAGAAGCCATATTGTGAAAAACTGACTTCAATAGACGACTTGAATTCACTTATTTCAAATTTGAATGTAAGAAACCTTCATAATTCTTCCCTTAAATTCTCGCCAAATTTTGTACAGGTTATGAAAGAATTGTTAGGTGTTTTACCTGATTTTAATCTGTGTGATTTTAGTTACGAAAAAATGGCTGAACATTTAGATAGTATTAAAAAGGTGAATCTTGATATTACCAGTTTAATAGCATTAGTGTCTGGTGTCACTCACGGTGGATCAAAGTTTGTTTTTAAAGAGAAAATATTGTCTCAACAAGCAGCCGAAGAACGTGATACTCCATGTTTGGAAATTATTAGACAGTTTCTAGAAGGTAAGTTGACTCTTATATCACAAATTGTTATTAGTATAGCCTATTTTTCACTTCTACAGTGCAGTGTTATAATTAAAAGAATTGGGGGCATGAATCAAAGCATATTCCGGAAGCAATGGCCCAAGTAACTCCTCTCTAGCCATTGCTGTACAGACTGAAAACTTTTAACGGAATGTGTCCATTTCCAAAGTCCAATCAAATCTCTCCTTAGTACAGTAAAATAAAGGGAATTTTTATAACTGGCCGCTTATGATTGAAATTTTGCCTACTCTTATAGTGAATTACAACTGCCAAGGGATCTTTTACGTGCATGCCAATGTATACACAAGACCTCGTTTTTTTGTCCCATCCGAACGACTAGACAGGTGTCCTTGTCAGGCCCTCCGTCCTGCACCACTGGCAAAAGGAGACTACGCCAGAAAATCCTGATGAACTTTCTTGACCAAAGCAGGGATCAAACACGCGATCTCCAGGCTAGCAAGCCACCATCTTACCCACTTTAACCTATAGCTTCTACTTTATATGTGCACTAAGTTTACAACAATTATTAAAGAATCAGCCTCTACTTGTGGACCGCCATTGATCCTGATGGAGATCATAACTTGTACAACATTCTCAATGTACAGTGTTCATTCTTAGTACTATGATTACCATGAATAGTAATTAGTATGTATGGTGAATAAGTCTTAAACTAAAGTAAAATAAAATTGAAACACCCGGGCCCTGTTTCACAAAAACTTAAATCTCCTTAAAATCGTCTTAAACTAAAATTTCATCATAGCTGAGTTTAAGTATTTTTGCTGAAATCCATTAAATTAATATTTTACTTTTAGGGACAATTTTAACTAAAATTAATTTTAAGTTAGGACAGCCATCTACCTCTCCTAACTTAAAATCACGACATAAGCAAACATCGATTAGTGCTTACTTGTTAGATCTATTGCAACATATAGATCCATTTGGAATAATGGTAATACTCTGGCTAATGATTCAAGTATAAATAATAGTAGTTTTTATACGCCCTCATTTTCATGTGGACGTACATTTTGCCGTACCTCTTTCTGTCTGTTGTGGATCCTCTAGAGCTCACTTTTTTGATCCGATTTTGATGAAACTCAAAATTCATGTTTATAACCCAAAGATCTTGGCTCACTGCAATAATCGTTCATATCAGATCGTAATTTCCGCAATTAAGGCCCTTGATTGTATTAAAAAGCACGTTTTTAGCTTGTGGTCCCTCTTGAGGTCACAATTTTTATCCAATTTAAAAGAATATTTGAATATATCACTGTTACACCCTATTGGTGGTTGAGTTCAAATTTCGTGAAAATCGAACCAAAACTGCTGGACAAAATGGCCACCCCTCATGCGCAAATACTATCAAACTTCCAGAATATATACTCACTAACCATATCTGCTACCCTCTAAAGTTTCATTAATCTACTCTCTGTAGTTTAGTTGTACCCCGTAATTGAAGAATGGCCTGAAAATGACAATCTTTTGGCTTTATATGATCTTAAAATTTAAAAAAATTTATACGCTCTAAAAATGGTTCGATTGATCTAATATTGTGGCAGTGGGGTTTGGAGGGGTTACTCATCCTACATAAAAAAAATGGTAAAAATTGGTCACTCACCATATGCTGGTCACCGCATGGTTCTGTCGCAAATACTTTTGAAATTCAACAATAATTTACAGGATAGATTAGTTTGTAAAATGTCACAATTGCCGTCGGTTGAGTCAGACCTTACATCACTATGCTCTGTTTATTCATCTTTTAAAAATATTCATCATGTTTATAAATTTCCCAACACACCCACAAATATCATATGTTTGTAAATGACAATTCTCTATAGTTTCTCTTATTCAAAATACCATAAAACTTCAAAATTCGAGCGATTTTATTCATTGATAAGCTTTATTTCCATTAAAGCCTGCTACTAAATCAAATGTCATGAAAGCATCAAGTTCAAGGCCAACCCAATCACAATAATTTTATTTCATCTCTCTACGACTTTCCATTGATATTGTAACCATTAGTTCAAACTGTCAACAGTTTTAAGTTCCAAAATGTACTTGTTTACACCCTAAGTGCCCGCACTGGAAATGTGCACTGCTCAGATGCAAGCAATGGTAACTAAAATCTTTTAAAATTCCATTTTAAGTTACAATCAGTCTTCGTGAAAGGTAAAATTTAAAATTTCATTTTGATTTTAGTTAAATCTGTTTTAGAGATTTTAGTGATAATGCAAAAGCCTTCTTTTACCACTGTGCAAGATGACTGACCTTTACGTTCACTCCCAGTATACTTCGACGTCTGATGTCACATCATACGGCATTAATAACATGTGCGTTGTTTACATTGGTCATACTGGTGGAGGCAAAATTCGCACCTTTAACTTACTTTATGCCTCTGCATACTATTTTTTGTACTCATTCACACCAAATAGGAAATATTTCTTATCTTATTTCTTAAAAAATTGTTTTAGAATTTAATTTGCAGAAGTAAATACTGAGCGCGCTAATTAACTCCCTACTATATCAGTGATATTGGCGGCCAAGCAAATATTTACTGCTGATCAGTTTGGGGGTTGTTTAACAAAGTAAAATAAAGTTAGTTGACAAACACTGTCAGTTGACAAGCACTGTGCAACCCAGGTAAGCTAGCTACCAACCCTGGTAGTAAACCTTGACCCTGCTAAATTGTGACCCCGGTAAACCTGATGGGGCGCAAGAATATTATAAAAAGATGCCCACAACATAAGTCCAGTCAGTATGAAAACTTCAATATGAAGGAAACTATATATAGTTAAAGGACAATATTGGTGCCAGTCATTATCACATATGTGTTAGAGCTGGTTAAACACATTCCAAATATACTTTTAACACAGAGATCATTGCTACGATAGCTGAGTAATACGGGTTTCCCGTATCGGAAGTGACGAACGCCAAAGGAAAACACGAGTCACCGCTCTATATAACTGACTGAAGCGACGAGTGATGACATATACACGGCCGAATTTCTGCTCACTATTAATTCCTTCGAAGACCAAAAGTTGTTGTGTGAGACTGCGAGAGGATATCTGACAATTCATAAAAAGAATTGACTGCCACTAGATAAGAGAACACGTAATAAAAACAGAAAAAGTCCGTGCATTACCATGTTTTTATAAGGTATAGAATGAATATAAACAAGGAATTGTATGGACTATTTCTATTTTTCTCATGTTCTCTTATCTAATGACATTCAATTACTTTATTGAATTGACAGATATCCTCTTACAGTCCCATATAACAACTTTTGGTCTTGGAAGGAATTATTAGTGAGTAGAAATTCGGCCGTGTATCTGTTATCACTCGTCGCTTCAGTCAGTTATATAGAGCAGCGACTTGTGTTGTCCTTTGGCGTTCGTCACTTCCGACACGGGAAACCTGTATTACTCAGCTATCGTAGCAATGATCTCTGTGTTAAAAATATATTTGGAATGTGTTTAACCAGCTCTAACACATATGTGATAATGACTGGCACCAATAGTGTCCTTTAATCGGGATAACCAGGTCTTTTCGTGAATAAATCTAACTTCAATTCTATGAACCCTTGGATATAGCAATTTATATTGTCATTTTTGTTTTGGGGATTAAAACAAATATAGCATAATTATTGCTACTGGTTGAGCATTATTGACTCATTTGTTCAACTTGTGAAATTTTAGGTTCAGGACAATCCTGGTTAATATTTCTTTCACTTACTTAATTGTCTAACATCTAGTTGAATCCCTGTTAGACTTTCATAGCAGCCAGTTTAAAATTGTTAATCTATTTGATTTAGTTGCTGTCATTTCTGAAGCCAGAGTTTTTATTTATTGTTATTCAAGAGATAAAGAGGTTAATTCTTTATTTTGCAATATTTAAGACCCATCTGAAAATATGTAGGAGATGAAAAGCAATAAAAGCCAATGATACAAAAACTATAAAGCATACCGTTATCATTTATTGTCAACAAATCTTTATGTTTTTTATGTGATTTCTCATATATTTTATTGATATATTTGATGAAATGATAAAAATGATTAAAATGATGATTATTATACATTCTGACTTAATTGATTTAAGCATATGTGATGAGTAGCGCTATGGTAATGGTCTATACTTCCTACTATGTATTTATTTCCACCACACTCAAACCACCTCAGCTACATTATATATATTGCTAGTGGATCCATGAGTTTATTATAAATAGTTACTTGGGGATGGGAGGAGGAGTTGCTGAAAAATACCATAGAAATGATTGGGGGGACATGCGCAGAAATTCAATACTGTTATTAATAAAGTTTATGAATTTCTGAATGCTACTGAAAAGAGTACCTCTTGTATTGTCAAATGTGTGGTGATGTAATGAATCTTAACTGTGAATCTTGAAACATTATTTGATTGGTAAATAAGAACTTCCCCACTGTCCATTGTACCAAAGATCTATGGTTGATATTTGATAATCAGTACAATATGTTTGAATAAGGGAATAGCCATCCAAGTTATAATTAGTGCACTAATAAATTAAACTGGAGCAGCTTTCCATGCCCTTCTCATCTGGTTGAATCCAAAGTAAAGACTTAATCCTAAAATATTATTAGATTAATTTTATATTTATTCACTAAATAATATTATAATTCAGGCAAAGAACTAATAGCATGTAAATCAGCTGTAGAAGATTTCAACACAATATTGGATACATTAGGTGGTGAGGGTGAAAAGGAAAGATCTAAGAAATTACTAGAAGACATAACTATTGTAGAAGATCAACCTTCAGATAGAGCTTTACAATTAGAGATGTTTGGTAAAGTTAAAGGCAGATCAAGGGTAAGAAATAAGTCAAAGGATGATAGTCTATGTAAGGAACTCGCTATAATAAGTGTTTTTCTGTGTAAGGAAATTGTCCACATAACAACCAATGTGCACCTATAGTTGGTGGTCTCCAAACATCAGTGTTATTGCAAAGACCTTAGTGGTTACATGTGTTATCCAGGAAAGACAAGGGTTTGGCAAAAACTATTGATCAAGGGGCTAAAAGACATCCAAATATTTTACTACTATAAAAAATGAAATGAAATGAATGGTTGTCAGGAATTTGTTTTTGTACAGAAATAGCTCCATTCCAAATTCTCAAGCATTACAGACTTTCAATTTGACAGCTAACATGTGACTTAAACATGCTTGATATTCAGTCTTTGACATTTCCAGCTGTCTTATTATTTTGTGGCACTGTTTTACAGTTTTTATAAGAGATTGTCTCTTATTGGTTATTTTAAGAAAAATTTTACTCAAGATAATTGAATTCTAGTTGCGCTTTGGTATTTAAACTTGATCATTGTTGCTGTTCATATGTTCTTCTCTTTTTTTTTTTGATAATTCAGAAATTTGTAAATTAAATTTGTTGTCAGTGTCAGACGTCAGTTTCCAATTTTAGATGAAGCTATTATTGAAGTAGTGCCGTGTTCTAGTATATTTTTTCTCAGTTAAGAAGGTTACATCATTGTAATGTAAATTATTAAATGTCAAAGGTTTGATATATATTAAATAAAAACATTCCTGTCTCAAAAAAGTCGATTGGTATTATTATTACTTCATATCTCAATTCTAGAATTAACATTATTTTTTAGATAATATTTGGTACTGGTGATACGATGAAAGCTATTACTGTAACAGCTAATTCAGGATTTGTTCGAGCAGCACGAAATCAGGTTTGTTCAATTTGATTTGATTCTGCTTGTTGTGTAAATTACATTGACGACAGTCTTTTGTGGATTTATGTGAATCCTGTATTTACTGTAGGGTCTAAATAAAAAAAAACCCACCAAAACTCAACAACCTCTGATCTATTGATTGTTGTATGTGTTCCTATAATTATTGGTGGAATGCCATGAAAACAAAAAAACACTTGAAATTGTGTGATTATCTATATATTGATAAGATCACTCTTCACTATAAACCACACTAATTAGTTTATTATTGAATTAACAGATCATTAAAGATACATTATGTAAGATTTAGATAAAGAACTAGCCATTCTTGCTATAATAGTTCGAAAGTAGATGATGAAAAATGAATAGTTTGAAAATTTCATTCAAATTACTCTATTGCAAGCGAAGATATTAGCCTTTGAAGGTTTGACAGACGTGTGCAATAATTTTAACCACCGTACTGGTTGATCGAAGCTAACTCTCGGTCCTCCATATTTGATTAAATCAAAGTATCACTGAACCATTCTAATCTATTTAATATCGGAGAAATCTGATGTCATCGAGAGTTGATTAAGGCCTGAATCAGTTAATTAATGTCTAATTAATACTTTAGAAAACATTTCAGGCCTAAAGAAAGACCTACAATAGGCAGATTTAGCACTTGCATAATGCATGTTTAATGATAGGATTTTATATGCTCAGTTTTCAAGTCATGGATTCAATCCCAGGCTAGTATGTGATAAGGACATGGTTTAACAGCACATATCCACTATCCACCACCATTTCAAAAGATCTTATATATCATGATCAATTCTATACAAAAAGAAAATGATTAAAATAAAATGGCATCTAAGCCTCATTATTCACTGCCTTAAACCCATTTTAGGGCAAGTTCTCATTATGTATGAAGTTTTATTTTTACTATAATTTAACTGATTCGACCAGTTATCTTAATTTAGCAGTGACTAGTTTCGTTTGTATTGATCTCTTCGGACTAACGAATCACAATTAGTGAGGTTCTATATATACTATTGTAAACCCCAGTAAAAATTTTTACCAGAGTTCATGGTTTGGCGGGGTTACTGGGGTTTCGTGTTTTGGTGGAGTTCACATGTTTGCCTTAATCCAGGGTTTGGAAATAGGCGGGGTTGTTGAAAACTAATTTTACCGGGGTCTATGGTTGTGCTGGGTTTCGTGTTTTGGCAGAGTTCACTTGTTTGCCTGATACTGAGGTTTGGAAATAGGTGGGGTTGGTGAAAACTAAAAACCAGGGTGGAGATTGGTGCCCATTGAATGGAAATACAATATTACTAGGGATTGGTAATATAAGCGGTGTAAAAGTCCTGCAGAAAGTCAAAAGGGTTTGAGACATGTGAGGATGAAAGAAAAAGGAAAAGACTGATAGAGTGTGAAGATAAGTTAGTGGCTTAATAAACTAGAAACGAGTGAAGAATTGAAAAAATCCTGGTTGATGAGTTGTGTGTGACGGACCTTGTTCTAGTTGATGTTCCAATTCTTCTTGTAAGGAACACCGTAACAGGTGATCGACAGATCTGTCCAAATTGTTCCAAATATCACTCCTACGGGAGTGCACTGTATACCACGTTTCCACTACCAACTGGTTAGGGGAGGTGATGTGATCCCAGTTTCGGAATAGTGGTATTGGGCGTCTAGTAGCCCTCGCTGGTATTGGGTGATGACACCTTAGATGTGACACTCTCACTAGGGGAGGTCTCTGTGCCATGGATGGTTTCCGCTGAACATTTTACAATGGGACTTGTATTGTCCAAATCTCCACCAGTGGTTACAATCATTCGTGGTAAGGGGTCTGCATTCCAAGTAGGTTCTGTGGGTACCATGACTCCCTTGCATCAGTGGTTCCTGAGATATTATTTTCTATGAAAGGCCGTGCCACAATCTTTACACAAAATAGTTTGTGGCATTTGTCGCTCATTTATATGTTTTAAAAGGTGGTATCTTTTGGTAAGAATTCTGCCACAATTTTGGCAGGTGTCCATGTTGAAAAGATATAATGTCGAGATGACATATGTAGAAAAGTATAGATTTATGTGACCAGCTACAACTCCAAGAAGTAGAACAACCCCGCTCGGATTGCCTAAGCCTAGAATCTGAAAAAGATGACCCTCTCAAGGGAAAATACTTCATCGGAAAAGGGAATTTGTTCAACCAACCATGCAGACCTGCTCCCCAAGCCTCCAGGTTAAAGACTAACAATAAAAGGTACCGCTCCAGGTCCTCTTCCAGAAAATGAATTCCAATAACTACCAATAACCAATCCAGGATCCAGCGGATGGTTCAAGAACTTGCAATATTTATGTTATTTCAGTGTATTTTAACACTTCATTTATATTATTAAATTTTGCACCACTGTAAAGTCATGAGACACACAAATACTTTATGGAAGTTACTTCTCTTTCGTCACATTTAATGAACCATAAAATGACCAATGTCAAGATTGTACAGCTTAATTGTCCAGTAGGCTATCGGTTGCCCTACTACATTTCCAGTTGAAATTTTTATATAGAGTTATTGCCCAAATAATCTATTGTACAGTGGACATCTGAATACTCTGGGACTCTGTGAAATCCAACACCATTTTCATGTCCTGATTTATTTCCTTATTATTTCAGCCCAAAAAATCTGAATTACGACATCAATCAACCGTCCTGTCACACGATTTCCATTGAATCAACACTGTATAATCGGGTCTTCAATCGGTGGGTGTGAAACCACAAAAGATTAACAAGCAATCACCAATTTTTTGATTACTTTGATAATTTTTATAATCTCTTGTAAGACAGTTGTGACAAATACTCAAGAATACCCACGAATTATATAGTCGTAAAAATATTCCTAGTACCTGTTGGAAACATTCGTTGCGCATGCCGATTGAACCTGAATACCTAAGTTTGTTCACCCTACGCTACAGATCTATCCGAGCCCTGTGACGACGACCTTGACATAGAACGACAGATTATCAATGAACATGTGACACCAAAGACAAGTGTGCGATCGACTGAGGACGATGAAGAAGATAAATTAACGACAAACTTGACCTATTAAAAATGCCTACGCATGTTAAATGAAATAGAAATTAATGTAATAAAATTTTGAATGTACAGAAAGACTTAACATTTTTAAAGGAAATAATGTTCTGGGGATTTGAAGCTACATTATAATAATACTTCCGGTTTTCGAAGTTACAATAATACTTCTGGTTTTGAGAAAACTGAGTATTCCGACACTCTGCGTAATCCGACATATTGTAACGATCCCATACAATGCCTGATTTGACAGAGTCCACTGTACAGTTAAAACAAGAATAACTTGTGTGGTGTTATTCTCAAAATGACAAAAGTATTGTTTGTTGTTGAAACATAAAATCTCATTCATTTCATTTCTTCGACACAAACAACGTCATATTTGACAATCCCAACTCTATTATCAGGAATTAGTCTAGCTTCATGATCTCTGTTGACATTTGTGAACCCAATTATAGAAGGACTTCAATTTGTCTTACAATTATCCTCTATTTACTCTTGGAATTATCATAAGATTACACTTACAAGAGACTCTTGACAGAATTGATGTAATGGTGAGGCATTTCTTGGTTCTTATTTATATACATAATGCAGCATATACATATAGGCACAGAAAGTCCATTGAAAAGCTGTAATAAAAAGAACAAGTCATCTTCTCTGTTCAATTGCATAGTATAAAACTAACAAAAGTTAGACGATCCTTTATGTTTCTTTTTGGCTTTTATGTTTTTAGTGCTGAGTGCACATTGATTCAAATAAATGATAAACAGAAAACCGAACTGCTCAATCAATATTGATTAGAAAGAACCAAAGAACACCAGAACCACATTATTTCATAACTGCAGCATACAGTACATTTAAGAAAATTTTGTACAATCATTGTCTTTCGGCCTATATCAATAACAATATTCCCTGATTCAGAGGAACAAGTAACTTTGATGGAGGTTGCCATAAATTGTCACATGATACTATAGAAAGGGTTCCACTACCGATGTCTTCCATCTTGCCTCCAGCCACAGTAGTGGATGGTTTTAATGACTTCCTTTGCACAAGTTTTGTAATCATTTGTGATCTGTGTCTAGAGGTGAAATAGTAAAGATTTAGATTTAGTACTACCATTGGTTCTAAAGAACTAGAAAATTCATAAAAGCATAAAAAGAAAAGTTATCGTAATTGTTCATAAATGTAAAAAAAAAAAAGAATTAGTTGAATTGTCTGTGGACTTCACTAGAAAGGTTCCATAGAGTAACTTGTGTTCCCGTGGTAAAGTACATGTAGATTCAGATATTTCAGTGAGCATCTGTCTTGTTGGCAAGTGAGATCATATTAAAATAAAACCACGGAATAAAGCTGTAATTCTTTCATCATTTTCAAGGTACTAAAGCAAATTCTGTTACTATCTTTTTACTGTTGATTTATTGGTTCTTGATTGGTGTCAAAAGTTCAGCGATGGGTTGAGTGATTCCTTTCATTAACACATGTACTTTAACATCGACTAATGGACTAAAACTGACAAGTATATTGTTATTTGTATTTTCAGGGTATAGCTTTTGCTGTTTATATTCATCCTGCTCGAGCTTTAACAGAACAGAAAGAAAAGACAGCTATCCTCATGGAAACTACATATGAACTTAGTTGATATATATATCCATACAATAGTTTCTTACAATGTCTTTCATAAAAGAAAATTTGATTTACAGTATAGTCGCATTGCCTCACATTCTCCATATGATCGGCTGATTGATCTGTCAAGCATCAATAGAACTTGGCTACCTTCTGTTGAACCATTGACATATACACAACTTATATGTTAATAAACTACCCAAACTTTTAGGCATTAGTATTAGGTGTATGTAGAAAATCAAAACCATACAAATGGATAAAGATCCGTTTATCATGCACAGGGGGAGTAGAAGTGAGGTTTAATGTACACTCGACACAAACTAGGTTATTTCAGGACTAACATATGGTTTGATTTTATTTCAATAATTCATTCGTGCATAGGGGTCTTTAGCGGTGGGAGGAAACCGGAGGACCCAGAGAAAACCAATGTGATTGGACAAGCGACCCTTCTGATTCAACACGTTAACCATTCGGCCACCCAACCCCCCTATCATGTGCAGAACATTGAGGTTAAACTGTAACAAATTAATTTACCATATTATTTTATCACTATTGTAACAAATATTTTTGAAAATATTGATTTGGATTTACTACATTCATTCTGTTACTTTTAATGTCTTCAGGAAAATCTTTGTGTAGTTTCCCATCTGCCTATAAACATTGTATATTTTTTAATTTTTCTTACCTATTTGTATATATATGTATGTGGAATAGGTGGTGGATAATCAAAAATGAAGTGAATACAAAATATTTCTGATGTGTCTGAGCGACAACCCTTTTTCAAGGAAATAAATATGAATTAAGGTTTTACATATATATTGCCAAGCAATTGAGGCTAAAGTTATTTTTGGATCTTTTAAAATTGTATGCATTATAATATAATGCATATTGGTAATTTGTCTATTGGTAATTTCACTGATTTTCCAATAATTACTGTCATTAACCATATATATTTTGTAAATTCCTGTTATCACTAAAGTTATCGTTTCATTTAGCGTTTAGACGAAATCTAATGATTTCTGATAATTACTTCAGGGTTATTGCCCTGGATTAGTATTTAATCTCAGATAAAAAGTCTAGAAAGAATCGCAATATTACAACCATTATTGACTCCTTGTACATAGCTCCTACGTACCGACATATGATTTATTTCCTGGCAACCTATCCTTTAGTATAATAGACAGGTATTCATGTTCAGAAATCTTTAAAGCAAGGAAGGTTTAGACCTTTGGGGCTTCTTGATACATTTACATGTATTTACCATTAGTGCTTTATCTAAAGGGGGGTTTGATGGCCCAATGGTTAGAGAGTGCACATTGTATCATAATGTCTATCATTGAGTCAACTGGTTTTGATTCCCCCGGTTGTACGTGACAAGGCTATCCAACCTTGTGGGTTTTCTCCTGGTCCTCCGTTTTCCTCCCACTGCTAAAGACCCATATGCAGAAGAAAATTATTGAAATAAAATTGAATCATATGTTAGTCCCAAAATTTCCTAGTTTGTGTCAAGTGGACGTTAAACCCCATTTCTCTCTCTCTCACTTTATCAAAACTGAAATCATATTCACTATGTGTCCCTAGTTCTAATACCACTCTTTTGATATTGTCGCATTGACCCTTTATGGTTATGGAGTAAAAAAAAAATGGACGGAATTTATGGTTATAGATGATGGCATTATCCTCCTAATGTATATCTAAAAATTACACCGCTGTAATCCCTAACATATCAGTTTTAAGTGGAATATAAATTTATTACACAAATGTTAATTAGTAGGTAGTAGTAATGATTAAATCACACTTATTTATTAAGAAGATGTAAATAATTTTTCAGCATTTAATGCTACCCCACAGATAGTAATTATTATATTAGATTCAAGATACATCCATTTATCTTCTTGTGATTTTAATAATTGCTCAGCTTGATATTACCATTGGAATTAACAGTTCAAAAATTAGTAAAAACCAGACAGTGCTTCTAGGCTATAGAGGGAGGTTGGAGGTCTAATGGTTAAACACGTGTGCATTAGATTATAATTATAAGGTCTGTCATATTATTAAACTACATTTTTTTTTAAAATAAATAACGTTTGTAAAAGTTTGTTTAATTTAAAGTAATGACCCCTTAAAGGGCCAGTCTCAATTATATTTTCGAGAATAAACTCTTAATTTTGTGTGAAAAGCCCTTAAAAACCTCTACCTTAGGGTCGGGCAACAAACTTAATATATTTGATATGTTTTCAAACACCTAAAACCTGTCAGTCTTCATCTGGAAATTGAGACCAGTGTCCCAAGCTGGTTAGAACCAGACTTTTATTTTATAAAAATAACATGTAGGTGAAATTTACTGTTTGCTATGTACAGCACATGCATCACGCACTGTTTTGACCTCTAAAGGATCAGTAATAGATTATCGGGTCACCGAACAAAAAAATTGACCCGAAATCTTAAAAGAGTTACGTGTTGGGATAAGCGGGTTTGATGTTCATGTCCAAACGACTCAATATCTTTGGCTGAAATTTTCAAACAAGGTAAATACACCAGTCCTCAATATTTTGGCGCTTAAATTTCATACGTAAACCGAATTTTATTTTTGAGAATGTTAATTGGTATGGTCCCTTTAAAGAGGCATTACACAAGAGCTAAACTTGCCTTTTTCAGGGCATTTTATATGGCTTCAAATGTTAAATAAATTATTATTTAGACACTGATTCACATGACATGCCCATAATCAACTAGAACATTCGATGGCTTTGATATTGAGTGGATTAGACAATGTCTGCCATATTTGCCGAGGAAAATGCCAATCAAAAGACTGACAATCAAAAGACTGACAATCTAAACTGTTTATTATCATGGCAATGGTATGCAACACTCAAGAATATGAACTGTGGGTATGTCTATAGCAGTGTTGCTATTTCAAAATTTTTCTTGTCGCACATTTTTACGTGTCAACAAAATATTCAAATTCGTTATTTTTCATATTTAATTCCCGTATGGTATTCAAATTTATGTCAGTAATATTCCAGGACCTACAAAATTACGTGTAGTCGTAATACGATAGAATGAAAGCATGCCGCTAGTGATATTCCTCTAAAATTACCGTATTTTTAGGGGTATAAAATCGATCCTTTTTCCATCAGTCTAAAGCAATTAGCTACTTACACTATTCCAGTCGAAATTTGTGTCGACATTTCTTAGCTTGTTTATTTCTTTAGTTAAAAACAAATCAAAATAGAATATTTCTCCGACATTACAATTGTAATGTTTCCATCTCGTAATTTCATGCGTTTTTGTATTATAACCACGTGTCTTTAGAAACATTGTTGAGTATTTATGCGTGTGTGCGTAAAATACCTTTATTTAAAGTCTGCTTCCACCGAAGTGATATCGCAGACAATTTATCGGATATATCGAATTGAGTGCTATAAACTATTACATGTGACATAAATGACTAGTTCCAACATGTTGTCAGGAGACTTCAAAACTTCAAACACTATATAATAAATTGACTGAAATTTTCAATATATTCATTTTTATACGTCCAGATTTTCTTGTGGACGTATGTTGTCGTCGCCCCTGTTCGTCTGGACAACCATCCGTCCACAATCTGTATGTGGACACTCTACACGTCACAATTTTTATCTGATTTCGAGAAAACTTGAAATATAGGGTTTATTTCCAAAAGATCTTGGTTCCTTTCAATATTGGCATGTATCGAACTGTAACATCATGGACTATGGCCCCAGATTTACCAATAATCACATTTTTAGCTTGTGGACACACTAGAATTCACAATTTTTATCCGATTTTGCTGAAACCTGAAATTTATGTTTCCAACCCAAAGATCTCGGTTCCTTTCGATATTTGCTCATATCAGACCGTAACTTCCTGGATTATGAACCCTAATTTAAAAAATTTGAATATGTATTACCATACCATAATGATGGGTGAGTTCAAAATTTGTGGGAGATTCGATAACGAGTTGGCAGTTCTCACTATAATAGTTAAAAACTAGATAATGTAAAGGCAATTTGCTGAAAATTTCATTCAAATTGATCCCTTATGAACCAAGAACTAAACGATTGAAATTTCCGCCTAGCCTCGATCATCATTGCTAAAGTCAGCACGATAAACAGCATAGTCTCGATTATCCATTTAATCGTTAAATCATGAAGGAAAGTTATGCAGTAAATCGGCTCATAATCCACTAAAGATCTCAGGCTAGCTATGCCATCCAGAGTTGATTATGATCTGGATAGGTTAATTATTAATGTCTAATTAATAATTTAGATAACATTTCAGGCCTAAAGAAAGACCTGCCAGGGCCGGCGGAAGCAATTCTTGATTGGGGGGGGGGGGCTTCCATCCTAGGTCCTTATAGGCATGGGTCCAGGGGCCACAATAACCTGGAGAAAAGAGTACTTGCGGACAAATTATTAGGGGGGCTAAAGCCCCCCCCCCCTCCGCTGGGCCTGCCGGCAGTACTTGCACATATCGGACCCCAACTTTTTAGATTATAACCCCTTATTGTTTTCGTAAGCGTTTTTATTATTATTTTTTTTGTGTGTGGAATTTAGTCAGAGTTTGCAGCCAAAACTGTACATGGTGCCAACATTTTAACAAACGGGAAGTGTTTTACGTATGGACAAAAAATAATCTCAAATTGCCCATATCTCGGTTATTTCTCAACTAATCTTCGTCGGATTTTCATTTTTATACGCCCACATTGAAATGTGGTTAAAAACAAAGTCATGGGTATCACAAAACCATCTTTTATAGTATCTAACGTTTCGTAAGTCTAAAAACCTACTTCTTCAGAGAATACAAGCTACTGAAGAAGTAGGTTTTTAGACTTACGAAACGTTAGATACTATAAAAGATGGTTTTGTGATACCCATGACTTTGTTTTTAACCACTCCTACTACTGCTGTCACTGTATCAAGTTTATTATGACTTAGATCCCATATAAGTTTATGTTATTCAAATGGTTTTGGATTCCTCTCTCTTTATATATTTGGATTCACATTGAAATGTGGTCGTATATTGTCGTCACCCCCGTCCGTCCGTCGGTCTGGCATCCACAATTGCTTGTGGACACTCTAGAGGCTAAAGTTAATATCCGATTGACTTTAAATTTATACACAGTGTTTAAGGTCATGAGACGAAGAAGCCTATTGATTTTCAACGATTTTCGATAAGTATTGCCAGAGTTATGGCCCTTGATCACTTTGAAAATTCTTGTGGACGCTCTAGAGGCTAAAGTTAATATCCGATTGACTTTAAATGTATACATAGTATTTAAGGTCATGAGACGAAGAAGCCTATTGATTTTCAGCGATTTCCGATAATTACTGCCAGAGTTATGGCCCTTGATGACTTCAAAAAATCTTGTGGACGCTATAGAGGCTAAAGTTAATATCTGATTTACTTTAAATTTATACACAGTGTTTAAGGTCATAAGACGAAGAATCCTATTGATTTTCATCGATTTCAGATAATTACTGTTTAAGGTCATGAGACGAAGAATCCTATTGATTTTCATCGATTTCAGATAATTACTGCCAGAGTTATGGCCCTTGATCCCTTTGAAAAATCTTGTGGACGCTCTAGAGGCTAAAGTTAATATCCGATTGACTTTAAATGTATACACAGTGTTTAATGTCATGAGACGAAGAAGCCTATTGATTTTCGGTGATTTCTGATAAGTACTGCCAGAGTTATGGCCCTTGATCATTTTGAAAAATTTTGTGGACGCTCTAGAGGCTAAAGTTAATATCCAATTGACTTTAAATTTATACACGGTGTTTAATGTCATGAGACGAAGAAGCCTATTGATTTTCAGCGATTTCTGATAAGTACTGCCAGAGTTGTGGCCCTTGATCACTTTGAAAAATCTTGTGGACGCACTAGAGGTCAAAGTTAATATCCGATTGACTTTAAATTTATACACAATGTTTAAGGTCATGAGACGAAGAAGCCTATTGAATTTCAGCGATTTTCAATAATTACTGCCCAAATTATGGCCCTTGATCACTTTGAAAAATCTTGTGACGCTCTAGAGGCTAAAGTTATCATCCGATTGACTTCAGATTGATACACAGAGTTTAAGGTCTTGAGACGAACACGTATATTGATTTTCAATGAATTTTTATGACATGAACAACTAAATCCATGATGTTAAAATTTTCGTAAACTAAACATTAGCATGGGGCAGAACTTTATAAAAACCAAACAAATTCTAATGGTTTTCTGATAATTACTTAATGAGTTGTTACTCTTAATCAGATTTTAATGTATTATAAATGTTTAATTAACGAAAAAAGTAAAAATATGCGACAACTCTTGTTGACTCCCCGTACGATTTAGCTGCTGTGGGCGTATGTTTCGTATGGCAACCTATCTTTCTATTCTTTGGACGAATCCCATGGGGGCTCGGACTGGCGTTTTTTTCGGAAGTTCGTTCGATTAGTTTTAGCATCAAGAACTTGTAAAAGTTTTCCTAAGCATTTTTTCGACATTCAAGATGGCGTATTTGTGTTAGTAATTGGGGTATCAAGTTGAAACTTGGTATAGGAATAAGGAACAAATCGAACAGCATATTCAACATTTTTGTGGCGCTATTCAGATTCCGATTTTGAAAATCTTTTTTTTTAAACCTATTTCAAAAGGCAACTATTCTTTGGACGAATCCCATAAAGTTAAAAGCATGAATAAATGTTATTATTCTACTGTGATGTAATGGGATTTTGTTAGCAGCTGTTAATTGTGTTGTGAAAAATGGACGTATTGACTACTTGTACTAAACCAAAACATAAATTGTTTTATGAAATTTAATTGTAAATGTACATGGATTAGGCACCCATGCCAACTTTTTTTGTCCCCCGCCTTTCGAAGAAAGCAGGGGACTATTAAAATGGGTTCGTCCGTCTGTCTGTCCGTCACACTTTTTGGGACACAATAACTCTCCTTCTAGTTGACCTAGAATGTTCAAACTTGGTGTAGGTGTTTATTAGGTCAATGCCTTGATGGAGTTCGAAGATGAGCATTTTCTGCTTAGGGTAAGCAGATAAGCAATTTGATTGGTTGATGCTTTGGGACACGATAACTTTAGTTCTAATTAAGTGAGAGTGATGAAACTTGGTGTATAGTTTCATTACATCAATACCTTGACGAAGTTCGATAATGAGCATTTTCTGCTCAGGGTAAGCAGAGCGATAAGCAATTTGATTGGCTGAGACTTTGGAACACAATAACTCTCCTTCTAATTGAGCAAAAATGTTCAAACTTGGTGTAGGTGTTTATTAGGTCACTGCCTTGATGGAGTGTGAAGATGAGCATTTTCTGCCTAGGGTAAGTAGAGATAAGTAATTTGATTGGTTGATGCTTTGGGGCACGATAACTTTAGTTCCAATTAAGTGAGAGTGATGAAACTTGGTGTATAGTTTCATTACATCAATACCTTGACTAAGTTCGATACTGAACATTTTCTGCTCATGGTAAGCAGAGCGATAAGCAATTTGATTGGCCGAGACTTTGGAACACAATAACTTTCCTTCTAATTGAGCTAGAATGTTCAAACTTGTTGTAGGTGTTTATGAGGTCAATGCCTTGATGGAGTGCGAAGATGAGCATTTTCTGCTTATGGTAAGTAGAGATAGGCAATTTGATTGGTTGATGCTTTGGGACACGATAACTTTAGTTCTAATTAAGATGAGTGATGAAACTTGGTGTATAGTTTCATTACATCAATACCTTGACTAAGTTCGATGATGAGAATTGTCTGCTTAGGCTAAGGAGCAATAAGCATTTTGATTGGTCAAGACTTTCGAACATAACAACTCTACTTCTAATTGAGGTAGAATGTTTAAACTTGATGTAGATGTTCGTCTTGACTGAGTTCAATGATTAACATATCGAGCTAAAGCTAAGCAGAGATAAGCAATTTCCTTGGTCGATGCTTTGGGACAAGATAACTTTGATTCTATCTGATAGAGAGTGATGAAACTTAGTGTATAGTTGATAATCAGTTTGATTGCTCGATACTTTTGAAAAAAATAGATGTGCGATTAATTAATATGTGTCATCTATTTATTTGGGGATTTCGGCGGGGGACATCAGCCTCACTGTTGGCTTGTTTATCTTGTAAATACTGATACTACCAAATTGAATCTTGAAATATATGGGTAATAAATAGAATTATCATTTTGGCTGGGAAATTAGACAGTATAATTCATGTTTGAAATTTACTGAAAGCTATTGCAGCTACAGGCATGGTTACTGTTGGTATTAAATTATAAAAAAAGGTAAAGTTCTTCAACTTAAATATACAAATTGCTATTTTTTGAAGAATTATTTTTTAATAGTTTTCTTAGAAAAGTTATTTGGAAACTGGAAATGATTTTATCATACATATAAAAAATTGCTATTTTTTGACGAAATGTATTTTAATATTTTGGGAAACTTGAAATGATTTTTTTTTAATAAGAAACAAAAAAATAATCAACTTTTTGATTGACACCCCCCACCCTCCTCCAATTTAAAAGATGAATTTTAAAATCTCTTTAAATGATCTAGGGCTTGTATTAGCAATGAGTAGAATTCAAAAGCACTAGAATAGATAAGAGAAGATATCAGATGTCTCACAGAACTAAATTTTAAAGTTTGTATGATTATTAATTAGAAATTTGCTTTTTATTATGGCTCATTCATTTTCCTATATACTTTATTTTACAGCCCCAAGAAACATTTTATGTGAAAATTTGCCAGATTTAAATTAAAAGTGAGAAAGAAAAGAGGATCTTTGACTTTTTTTTAATCTATTCCCATGATTGGTAATTACAGATTCTCTTTGCTGCTATTGTAAAAAGAAAGGCATCATTACCTGGAGGGGATATAAGATTTTATGCTATAAAAACAGTAGGCCTACATACAGAGATTAGTACTGGAGATAGCATTACGACATATTAATATCTTTGTATAAGCCTACATGTATGTTCTCTCTTTATAATGAAAGAATGTTTGCCACAGGAACAGAAAATCTGCCGGTCGGTAATGATATATTTGAAAGATGGCAATGCCTACAAGGATTGTGAACATAGAAACACTCCAAATGAATCATAAGGCAGATATTAATACACCGTAGGTTTTTTAAAGCACAATAGGATATATTTTCGATGCATGAGGCACTTTTTGTTGACGTTTTATGTTTTCCAGCACAACAAGAAACAAAAACACTCATCATATATATTTTTTATATTTCACAATAAAAGGTCATTTTATGATGTATAAGATGTTTGGGGGCCACTGTAGCTTGATGGGCATGGCATTGGCTCACTAACCAGGATGTCCCAGCCTCAATATCCCAGCTTATCATATAATTGTCCCCCGCCTTTCAAAGAAAACAGGGGACTACTAAAATGGTTTCGTCCGTCTGTGTGTCGATCTGTCTGTCCGTCACACTTTTGGGGACACAATAACTTTCCTTGTAATTTAGCTAGAATGTTCAAACTATGTGTGGGTGTTGATTAGGCGAATGCCTTGATGGAGTTCGAAGATGAGCATTTTCTGCTTAGGGTAAGCAGAGATATTCGATTTAATTAGTTGATGCTTTGGGGCACGATAACTTCAGTTCTAATTATGTGAGGTTGATGACATTTTGTGTATAGTTTCATTGCATCAATACCTTTACTATGTTCGATTATGAGCATTTTCTGCTCAGGGTAAGCAGAGCAATAAACAGTTTGATTGTTCGAGACTTTAGAACACAATAACTCTCC